GCGTAGGAAAAGTGAATCAGAAAATAAAATAAAATCGTGGTAGCTAGAGATAAGGATGAAATTTGGGAGCTTACAAACCAAGTTCGCATTAAATATATTTAATTAAAATATATTTTTTTTATTGATAATAAACTGAAAAAAATGTGTCTCTGTCCGCCCTCTATGTGTGTTTGAAACTTTCCACAAATAATTATAAGGGACTATTGCCTGTACATTTGTAATTTCTTGTCGCCTTGATCTAATCAAGGGAAGTCTCAAATTGTGCCGATTACAGGAATAGTAAAATAATTTTCAGCAATTCGCATTACAGGGGGTTATGGTGGCGATGGCAATGGCGGAATTGGCGGGCCGAAAGCTGCAGACAAACACGAAAACGTTGTGTTCATCAAAAAGGGATTTTGAAATACAAATGAATTTTCGGCAGCGAGCGAGGTCTACGCAAATAGCCTCTTGCAGAGGCGCAAGCGGGCCCCTTATACGAGCAAGAGTAAAACGAGTACAACTCGTACGTAGTGCTCACAATCAGCCAAAAAAAAAAAAAAAAACAAGAAACATTTGCCTCGCTGGCTAAGGACAAATGGGGGCAGACTGGATCGTGGATTCTGTGAGTGTGTGTGTGTGTGTGGCCTCTCGGCCGTTTGGGTGTTTGGGGGAGGATGTTGGCGTCGAGCAAAAAACACAGCAAAGCAAAAAAAGCCTTTTGCTTACTTTGCGAGAAATGCCAATCAACCCTTTCTTTGCCTTGGTATGTGAAATATGCACGAATGAATGCGAGACGATGGAAAAAGGGAAGGGGCGAGCGGGAACGGAATTGAAATGCGGCGGTGGGCTCTGTCAACAGCAATGTGTTCGACGCCATTCCTTCCTGCCTTGGTATTCTACTATATGTACATAGCGAGCAGTAAAACGTCGACTCATTTGTATTTCCTTGTCTCTGTTGTTGGCGTTGCCATTGACGTTATTGTTGCTGTAATTTTCCAAATCATTTCAGCGATTTTCTCAGCAAACTTTTCAAACGTTTAACTAGCCGACATTCCCGGCTCTGCAAGAGTGTAGCATACCAGAAGGCGCAACGCCTGGTACGAGTAACTGAATCGGGCAGAAGTGGAAATGAGCGAATGCGAAAGTAAAAGGCAGCGACGCGGATTTAAAAGTTTAAATAACTTTTACGTATCTCATTACTCAAGGCGCAGCAGACACCGAAGGCGACAACTAGTGGGTCCACAGAAACATGTCTATATAGTAGTATTACGTGAGAGGGACGCATCGAAGCTTTGAGCCCTGAATAATCACAATAAAATCGCATAATTCAATTACAAGGCTCGTTAAGCCGGCTCAAGTGATTTGCCACACTCGACAACGCAGTTTAAAACTATGAACGGCAGCAACAACAACAACAGCATACTATAGAATCCAAGGGAATACTATTTTCTGCTTTAGAACAGAGAACAGATAGTAGTGCTACTGGATGGTGCCGTTGCAAGTGATTTGTGAGAGTATTAGAGTTGACTATTATCGGTTAAATGTACACATTCATTTACTTACTAACCAGACTTGCGATAAATACATATACAAGCATGAGCTATTAGCAGAATAGCTTCAGTAAGGGTGGCCGAGACTAAATACACAAAAAGGTAAGCTATGTGTGATCAATGCGTACAATGACGTAACAAGTCATATGAAAATGCTTATAAAGAAGAACTAAGAACAAACAAATGTTACGAATGTATTTAATGTTAACTCACCTGAAATACCTTCTAACATTAAAGGATATTTACTATAAATTTTGCTATGTGTGATCAATGCGTACAGTGACGTAACAAGTCATATGAAAATGCTTATAAAGAGAGTTGATTAACTCAAACAATGGTTTGATCCAAAGCTACACTAAGAACAAACATATGTTACGAATGTATTTAATGTTAACTCACCTGAAATATCTTCCACCATTAAAGGATATTTACTATAAAATTTGCTATGTGTGATCAATGCGTACAGTGACGTAACAAGTCATATGAAAATGCTTATAAAGAAAGTTGATTAACTCAAACAATGGTTTGATCCAAAGCTACACTAAGAACAAACAAATGTTACGAATGTATTTAATGTTAACTCACCTCAAATACCTTCCACCATTAAAGGATATTTACTGTAAATTTTGCTATGTGTGATCAATGCGTACAATGACGTAACAAGTCATATGAAAATGCTTATAAAGAAAGTTGATTAACTCAAACAATGGTTTGATCCAAAGCTACACTAAGAACAAACAAATGTTACGAATGTATTTAATGTTAACTCACCTCAAATACCTTCCACCATTAAAGGATATTTACTGTAAATTTTGCTATGTGTGATCAATGCGTACAATGACGTAACAAGTCATATGAAAATGCTTATAAAGAAAGTTGATTAACTCAAACAATGGTTTGATCCAAAGCTACACTAAGAACAAACAAATGTTACGAATGTATTTAATGTTAACTCACCTCAAATACCTTCCACCATTAAAGGATATTTATAATAAATTTTGCGGTTAAGATTTATCTCAAAATGCGATTGCGTTTGCAATTAAAAAAATTGGTGTTTACTATTTGACTTTATCTTGAAATGTGAAAGCAATGAAAATGTTTCGACTTAATTGAGGTGCAACTTTTTGACCAACACGCCTCCCCCATCAACAATTAAAATGGATTGCAAAGCTTTTAGTTCACTTTTCAGCTCTACTAATTGTGCTGCATGCTTTTTGCGACCAGTGATGGGACGCAACCACTTGCAACGTCATTGGGCAAACGAGCGAACCTCAGTGACCACGAACACACAACCGAACACTTATCCGTTGGTTCAACCGCTGGCGTTTTTCTGCAACTAGCCCGGCATAGTCCTTTGGCCAATGGAAACAACAAGCTCTAGCTGCTTGTTATTGTAGTTGCACCTTATCCTTTGCTCTGTTCTCTCTGGTTCCCGATGTGACCGAGTTCGTTTGCATTTTTAGTTTCTTTTAAGTGAAATATAAATGCTTTTGCAACCATTTCTTTCTCTATCTCCCCCCCTCATACCCCTTACCATTGCACGTAGTCATTATCACTGCAAGCGTTTAACTGTGGCCCGGCATTGGAACTCGTTTGATTTGCTGCCTTGTCGCCTTTCTTTCATGCTGTTTTCACTTTTTACTTTTTTCTTGTGTTTGTATTTCTTTTTGTTTTGCCTTTACACACCCTCTATGTTTCGCATTTTTTGTGAAGTGTAAATAGCATTTGCTGGACGGTTACCCTCCTTTTGGACCGACAAGTCCATCGAAGCGACAGTGCAATTGGACGCTCTTCCTTAACTTAAACAGATAAAAACATTTTACGTTTCGTTTCGTTTGTTTTCATTTTTTTACTTTGTTCTGCTCCCTTTTTTGTTCTTTCGGCACTGGTCTACTGGTCCACTGCCACGCTGACCCTGTGGCCAAGTTAACGAAGGAATTCCCTGGGCACTTGTAATTTTAACCAACAAGGCGAGGCGACGACCGACGGGTACGCAGCACCAGCGAGCCATGAACAAAGTGGAAGCGAAGCGCATTCATTACCGCCCCAACTCTAGTCCGCAGCGGATATTTCTGATACACACAGTAGCCTCCCGTCTTGCCTCTGTCCGGTTCGTTTTGGGGAAGGGTACGGGTACGGGTAGTGGGTATCCAGTGCCCATAAAACGTGCGTAAAAAGTCCTGCGAGCAACCATCAGACGGTCGCGACCAGAGAAATGCGCGTAAAATTTATCATTGTATTTTAAATAAAATGAAACGCACAGAGAAATTCTTTCGCTTTCCGTTTACATAGTTTGATTCCTTTGACAATTTCCGGTTTGTTGACTCTTTCCTTTGTTTGCCGACAGCCGACAGGCAGCAAATGGCTTTGCTCTCCACCGCCATTGTCTATTTTTATGGCTTGTTATTTAAAAGCCATAAAATTCAGCACATGTCTTCAATTTGTGTCCGCCTCTTTTTTCAGCCTCTTCCAAATTGGGCTGCCGGCCAAGTTGTGGCGTTTGGGTCTGGGCCGCTTTCCGCTGTGGGAATCATAAAATAAAGGCAGAACGAACTTTGCTGGCGGCAGAACTGAATTAACTAAAAGTGGCAGCAGTTGAGCATTTTTGTGTAAAGTACACATAATGATAATAAAGTTGATGGATGTTGAATTTTTCAACGGTTTGATCAAACCATTTTCGAGCTTGGAACACAGTGGTGATAGAGTTATAGATATGCCATTCAAATAGTCCGAGAAGAGACATACTGATTGGTGTATTTATGAGGATTGGTCTTAAATATAATACCACCTTTCACCTCCACTAGCAGCGAGCATCGGGCAAGTCGAATTGGCGTATCCCATATCGATTGGTTTTTCTTAGTTCCCTTTACTAATTAATTATGCTAATAAAATACATACACATACATATAGATATATACAAATAAATTTTATTGGTAGAATTTTTCAAAAGTTTAAATTAAATAACATTTGTATTGTGACTTGAATGAATGTTTTAAAATTTTGAACAATTTTTTTGGAAATGTTTGCCACTTTTTTTTTTACAAAATTTTTAAACGTACTTTTTAAACATTATTGTTATTATCGTAATCATATTTTAAATGATCAACGCCTTTTAACTTTTGTGCAAATTAATTTACATAACTTAACTATTTAGAACAATGGCTTAAAAAGGATTGAAATGTTTTTGTTTTTGATTTCTTTCTTCGAATATTTAATTAATGTCAATTACTTCGACTGTGAAAGTGGTGTGATCTTGAAATGGTTTTCAAAGCCTTAGACATAAAGTATTGGAATTATATATGTATATTTGAAAAAAAATTTAACAAAAATTCTTATTCCTAAAAAGTACAAAACCTGCATTTTATAAGTAATTTAAAATAAGAATAAAAAGCATAAATATCTATTCTTCGGCAAATGGATTTTTGTTGAGTTCACAAATATTTATTTTCATGACTATAAATATTCAAACCTATCCAAATGTAAATTATGTTGAAAACACGTTCTTACGACCAAACTTTTTCAAATTTTTTAAGCACAAATATGTTAATGAATAGCAACGATTTTGAATTACACTTAAGTGAAAGCTTGGAATGAAGTAATTTCTTCAAATTTTTAAATACCTTTTCAGTTTTAAGGCTTGCAGCTTACAAATGGTTACGCCTACAGTCGTAACTATTTGAAGGCCTTATTTGAGCAGGCTATTAACATTAGACTTAATTTTAAATTACAATATAAAAATATATGATTGAAATATTATTTGTATGAATATTTTTACACTATTCAATTAATGTCAATTACTTGGACTGCAGCATCTGATTAAATATATTCGGTAAAGCATTACGAATATAAAGACAAATTCTGTATAGCATGACGACGTCTGCGCTTAAGCTAAACGAAATGAATAGACAATGTGATTATTGTACAGCTATTTGTTTTAACAAGTATATAAAAAATTAAATAAAATAATTTTGAATAATTTAGTCCATGCACGCTGTTTATTTTACAAGGACGATTTTGAAACTGAAATAGGAATGCTTGGCTTGAGATACGACGAGCCAATTATGCCTGTTTATTTGACTTTTAAAAAACACTACATACCGGGCGAAATTGAGGTGGTGGAATGTCAAAATCCGATTCGCTTTCGAATTCCGAGTAATCATCGAAGGTACCTCCGCGTTTTGTCTTCTGAGGATGATTGGGGCAAGCAACATAGGGCACATCTTCAATAGTGTCTGCACTAGCCGACTGTACTTGTTGCTCGATTAAAGCGCTAATTGTAGCTTCAGTTTTACCCAAAGAGCTTTCGCATATTTTATCGACAGTAGTTACTACTGCATGTTCAGTGGGATTGTCAAATTGATTGACGTCCTTTTGCTGCTGTTATCGGATCGTGAATTCGAATCAGAATTAAAATGGTAAATTAACAAAAATATATTAGAACTGATCAAATTTCTGGCTTATATAAAGTGTATTTTAAACAACACTACATACCTGTGATAGTTTAGGTGACGACGTCCCTACATCTGATTCGCTGTCTAAATCAATGAAATCCTTATAGACAACATTAAATTTTACGTTGGCAGTATCCGCACTAACACTAGCCGATTCTAATTGCTGCTTGCTTGGAGGACTTATTATAGGTGCACTTTCACGCAGCGAAGAGCCCCTGCATATTATTTTAACATCCGTTACTATGGCACGTTCGGCGGGCTTGTTAAATGGCTTAACGTCCTCTTCCTGCGATGGCATGTCTATCTAAAATTCGGATCATAATATAAATATTAAATAGCGCTTAAAATTGAATACCCGGCATACATATACACAGCGGAACTGTGAGAGATACTAAAATGCTATTAGAACGAGCTAAGAAGTTACCTTTGTTCTCGTTTTGGCAATTACGGGGCCTTAACAACAACGACGAAACTAGAGACAACTTCTCAGCTCCTTGTTTTTTGTAAAGATATTGAACTCAAATGGATTTTCAGAAGTTTGTTGTCGGCCGGTTTCAAAAATTATTTTATTTAGCAATCTCAACCAAAATTTTATTTATTTAATTTAATCTTACATGATGAATTGCCTATCTTGTATGCAATTTATTTGTATGACTCTTAAACAATACTACATACCGGTGGTAGTTTAGGTGACGGCGTTTCTCCTTCCGAATCGGTCTCTAAGTCCACGGAATCCTTATCGACAGCAATGACTTCTGAGTTGCGAGGGTGATCGGTGATCACAGCTTCAGGTAGTGCTTGAATAGTGTCCGTTCTAGTACTAACCGACTCTACTTGCTGCCCATTTAATTGACCTAATATAGCAGTAGTTTCACGCAAATAAGAAATGGGTTTCTAAAAATATGATCAGAATGAGATAAAACACATTAAGTACTTAAGTACAGTACCAATCGACCAATCGAACTGTCGATTAAACTAAATCGACTTAGCTGAGTGATTAAATCGCGCTACTTACGACTACGTTTATCTTCATATGGTGTTGGTTTTGGCTCAAGTCATCAATGATTTCATCCATCTTTTGAAGCTGCTCTTGAATATCGCAGATACGCAGCTGCAATAATAATTTATAGAATTACTACTTAATGCTTCAGGATGCTTCATTTCGTTTTATTTTAACGTACCATTTGCAACTCCTTACGGGCCTTTAGCTGACGAATATATTCGTTCTCTTTGGTAGGTAAATCTACGAGCTTTCCCTTTTTTTCCTCAAGCTTCTCTAATTGCTGAGAAATTTGGTGAATCTGACGTGTGTTTTCCATTTTCTTTTCCTGCCATACGGCAATTTCATTTTTACGCTGCAAAGCCATTTGCATGCTAAGATCCCTAATATTCTGTAATTCTTTTTCATAGCTTTCTTTATTCGTCGCGATGAGAGTATTGAATTCGTTCAGTTTTTTCTCGAACTTTTCGATCTCCAGAGCATTGTTCTGGCTCGATTTATCAAGCTGTGCAACCAAAGATTGGTGGTTATCTTTTAGACTCTGATAATTTAACGTCTTTTCCTTTAAATTGTCATTTAACTTGCTAATTAGTCCAGCTCCTTCGATGATTTTCAGCTTGCTCCTCTCGCGATATTCCGCAAAAGTCATATCAATATTCTTTAGCTCATTTTGCAGTTGCACTTCACTTTCCTACCACCATGTAAAAGTTTAACCATATCGCACATAATCGGCCTATAGATTGCCTTACCTTATTAAGCTTTGCGCACTCTGTTAATTTTTGGTCATATGCTTGCTTTTTAGACTGAACCGTTGCCACAAGATTCTTACCGTCCACTTGTAAATTCTCCGATTGTTTTTTAAGAGCTGCCACCCTTTCACTATGGTTTTGCACTAGATATGTATTTGAAGCAATTGCATCTTCCTGCAACTTCCGCTGGTTTGCAATCTATGAAAAGTATTAATGAATTAATTATTTAAAATCTAAAAACAAACAAATGATAAGAATTAGCTTTACCATCTCCGTAAAATCTTCGATACGTTTCTGTTCGAAAGCAAGATATTCGTTTTGCTGACACTTGATGGAGTCGTGTTTGGCCACAGTATAGTCGTATTTAATCTCTAAGATGGCAAAATGGTCCATTACTACTTTTTGTTTTCGGGCCTGTTTTTTTTTCTCCAAAAGCCCATGTCGGCATTTATATGCACCTTCAATCCATTGCCTAGTATAGTCCTTCAATCTAAAAACAAAATGGAAATGCTAATTCTAGAGAAAAAAATAAAATAAAATTGAGTTTACTCTTTTTGCAGGCTCGTAATTTCCTCATCTTTTTCTGCTACTTCCGCGTCAAATTTGTTTAACTGCTCGGTAAGTTCGTTATTGGTTTTCTTTATTTCTATGGCTTGCGACTTAGTATATATCATGTAAGAATTAAGTGCAAAGCTTGTATTGTCGAATAACTCGACCGAATGAAATTCATCATTTCCTTCTACTGCCTTATCATTGTTTAACGGATCGGTTTTTGCTCTGTCAGTTTTCTCTGTTTCTTCGGATTGCATCGTATTATATATCTTGTGATAATTAAGTGCAAAGCTTGTGTCGTAGAATGACGCATCCGAATGAAATTCATCTTTTTCTGCTACTTCCTTGTTATTATTTTTTAATGGATCGGTAATTTCGGTAATTATTTTACCTTTTTTATCGGCTTGCGTCTTAGTATATATCTTGTGAGGACTAAGTGCAAAGTTTGCGTTGTTGATCAACTCATCCGAAGGAAATACCTCTTTTTCCGCTCCTTCCTTGTCAATATTGTTTAACGGATCGGTTATTTCGATATTTATTTTCATTATTTTTTCGACTTGCGTCCTATTATATATTTTGTCGGAATTAAGTACAAAGCTTGTGTTGTCGAATAACTCATCCGAATGTAATTCATATTTTTTTGCTTCTTCCTTGTCATCATTGCTTAACGAATCATTTTTTTCGCTATTAATTTGATATTTTTCTTGCGTCTGATTATATATAGTTAAAGAATTAAGTGCAATGATATTGTTAGCGAAAAATTCATCCGAATGTTCTTCATTTCTGTCCTCTGTGCTTTCCGATGCCCTATCCAAAATGATTTCCTCCTTCTTCTCATTGCTATTACTTACATTGACGCCTTTTTTATACGGCTTGTTTTTTGCCCTACATTTTCCTTCCTTAGGCATACTGATATTACGCTGTAAGTTAAAGAAATTTCAAAAGTATAAATTAGCGTTTGACTACTATCTTTCAAGATACACACATATACATACATATGTATGTGCATACATATGTACATAAATACACACTAATAAGATTTGTACGATGACGCCATGTCACAATAAGTACATTTTCATTGCAATATTTGTTAAATTGCTTTAATTATAAATAATTAGTATTCATAATTTAAAAAAAAATGTCCTAAAAGGTAATTTTTGCATTTATTAAAATTTTTAGTGGCGCCACTGATTTCTATTTTGTTGCATTTTTATTACTTACGCCAACAATTCCTTTTCAATAATGGTAATACAATTACGAACTACTCCGTATGTTAAGCAGCAAATGTATTGATAAATTTGCCAATAGCAAACTGATGTGATTTATCAGATATAGCACGATTTATTTCCCAAATTCAGCTCGAACCAATGCGGACGCGCGTCCAGGGCTACGTTGATGTCGTAAGTGGCGCCCGAAAAGAGTAGTAGAGCTGCAAAATGAATCGATGCAGAATCGATTTAATCGATGTTTAGCATTTTTGTTAAGCATCGATTTTATTTGTTGAGAATCGATTAATCGTGTAAATTTAAATGAACACATTTGTTTCAAGGTGACGCTGAGTGGCTAAGCGGTAAAAGTAAGTAAAATTAATAATTGCCAAATAAATCAAAACATTACATTTTCTTTTATATTTTTGATTATATTGGTGTGTTGGTGGCTTGGAGAAGAGGAGGGAAACGGATAAATGGATAAATTTTTGAAATCAGGTAAGAATTTATGCCTCATTTAGTTAAGCAGTGAGGGGCACTCCGACATGTGACATATGTATGTATGTATGCATGATTTTTGTTTTCTGTGCACATAAACGCAGCTTAGTTTTAATTAATTATTGCATTATTGTATGTGTACTATTTACATTGATATATTTTTGTATGTAAACCCTTTAGCGGCACAACTATTTACATTTTTTATTTAATTTTGGTTTTTAGGTAATATCAAGGAAGTTGACGAGTCCGTGGAGCACAGTGGCAAGCGTAAGGGAAGGCAAAAGTCCGACATTTGGAATTTTTTTACAAGGCTGCCAGGGGGAAACTCTGCAAAATGCAAAACTTGTGGTTTGGATTATAGAACAGGTGGAAACACAACAATCTTGTTTAATCATCTATTGCGGGCTCATACGACTTTGTCCCATGAGTCGAAGCCTGTGGTGACCATAAAAACTTTCTTCAGTTCAAACAATTATTATGAAAACAATTCCGCGCATAAAAAGGAGCTTGACAAAGCATTAACCCGCATGATTGCCATCGATATGCAACCATTTCGCATTGTTGAAGATCGTGGATTTCGTGATTTCGTTTATTACCTTAATCCAAGGTATATATTGCCCAGTAGGACAACTTTGAGAAACGTGCATCTACAAAATATGTACAACGAAATGAAAGAAAAACTTGTTCTGATTCTCAATAACGTAGAATACTGTGCCGTGACAACGGATAGTTGGACATCGCGGGCGAATGAATTTTATGTCACAGTTACTTGCCATTTCATAGACAAGAACTTTGTATTAAGAGAAGCTGTTTTATCAACGAACAAACTTGATATTGATACCGATCACACAAGTAATAACATAGCTGACTCTTTGCGTGCAGTACTGTTGGATTGGAATATTTTATATAAAACTTCTACTATTGTTACGGACAATGCAGCAAATATGATAAAAGCTTGTGAAATTCTGAAGAAAAGGCATTTGCCATGCTTAACCCAAACCTTGTAATTCAGGATGTATTGGCAAGCGGATTGTCACCTTTTTTAAAAGCAGTTCTATTGCATATGCAAAATTAAAAGCCGCTCAAAATGATGAAAACCCCCTTAGCCTAATACAGGAAGTACCCACGAGATGGAACAGCTCATTCAAGATGATGGAAAGAATTATAAAATTAAACAGTAACATTTCTTCTGTGCTTCTTAGTACTTTAAAAGCACCTCATCCATTGACTGCGGATGACATAAATATAATGAAGGACTTAGTTTGCTTGTTTATGCCGTTTGACAGTGCAACCACCCGGATCTCTTCGAGCAGCACAGTTACAATTTCCGAAATAATTCCGACTACAGTTGATCTATACCATCGCTTACACAATGCAAAACTGGCACTTAAGACAGCGGAAGGAATAAAAACCTACAACTCTTTGATAGATGGAGTTAATCGTCGCCTTGCACCTTTTGAAAATCGAAGCGTAGCTCAACTTGCAACGATTTTTGAACCAAGATTTAAAAAAGAAGGGTTCGGTTGTTCTTCCACCGCCGACGCAGCAGGTTTTTTGTTGCAAAATGAAATTGCAGCTTGTAGTTCATACGGAAATCCGACTCCCGACATCGAAGAGCCACCAACACATCCTGATTATCCAAGCACTAAAACATCGCAAATTTATGCATTTGTGCAGGACAAAATAGCACAAAAACAATCAAGAACCCCGCAAGCAGATGGTATAATATTAGTGAGACAATACTTAGAAAAACCTCACGAGTTGCAGGGCACACCACCATTGGAATACTGGAAGGTAATACTTGTGGCATCTAAAAAACTTAACTGCTAATTATATTTTTGCAAATTTCAGACACATGTGCATGAAATGCAACACTTTCAAAATTGCATCTTTAAGTATTTGTGCATTCCAGCATGCTCCACTGCGTCTGAACGCATGTTCAGTAAGGCGGGATGCATCCTCTCTGACAGACGCGCCGCTTTAAAACCGTTTATTGTAGACCAGTTGCTGTTTACAAACAAAAACCAATGGCTAAATGAATAAAATTGATCTTATTAAAAATAAAATTTAATTTTTCTTCCTTAACGATTAATCGATTTTATTTTTGAAAAAATCGCGATTAATCGTAAAAGATCGATGCTGCCAACATCGATTATTTTGCAGCTCTAAAGAGTAGAATAAATGAATATACTCGATATCGATAACATTATTGCAATGCATTGCAATGGTTAAAAATAATTTAAATAATATTTACATAAATGTTATGTGGAATATACATATGTACATACATATATACATAGTTGAATGCTCTTTAGTGCCACGCTCACTCCATACTATACTAATACTGTATATACATATGCAAATTTTTCTTTAGTTGATTTCGCGGTGCCCCTTACTGCAAAATGAACCCCTTGCTTGTGTTCTCTTAGCGATGACTGGCGATTTTTAAACAAAATCGGCGCCAGATTGTGGGCTGAGCAGAGTTTCTAGTATAAGTGAAACTATAATTCGCGCATAATAGGAATTGGAGGGGAGCTTGGTGGGGATTACCTGGCAATTTGTAAACTAAAACAAACTTGCGCTAAAAAAGAGCTCAATTTAACACATTTCATATGTAAATACCACAAGTACAAGCACGCATAAGCACGCCCAGGCCACACTCTGAAGCACTGGCCCTGTGGTCAGCCCATGCGAACTCGTTTCCCTCAAAGGTGCGCGGCAGTAAATTACCACAACACGCAAGTCCAGACAGGGGTTTGGCTTCGAACCAGGCCATAATAATCGCCTTTAATAAATTATCGGCTTGCACGGCGCGAAAACGCGACGGAGCCAACGAGTGGTGAATTCACATGTACAATGTACATGCATACAAATATCCATGCATGTATGTATGTATGTGTGTATGCGGGCGCGACGTCAACCAGGAAGGCGTGTTACCAGTCGGCGAACAACAATGCAAACGGGAGCAGGGCTGAACGATGAAGACGATGATGACTGGGACGGTCGACATTTAAATTGAGCTCAAGAGTGTGTGTGTATTGCATTTTTCTGCCGCGCCCCTCGACCATCCTTGCCCACAACCGGGTCACCTGCACTGTTGCACTTGCACCGTACTCGGCGCTGTGGTTGACTTGCGTGAAATTTCAATTCATGAGCAGAAAAGGGCCAAAGGGTTGCGCCTGGGCTGCCGCAATTGAAATAATGAAGTGCTTGAATGCCAATCAGCCGCGGCGTTTGGCAAGAGGTGCCTCAACAAGCCGTACATACTTAGGCAGCCTTACCTTTCATGGCATGGCATGAGGAGCTAATGAAGGGCAGGGTTGTCATAATTTTGATAAGTCGTTAACAAAAAGGAGCTGCTGCCGATGTTTTTCCTGCTGAAATATTAATTTGGCAAATTGTTAAATAAATAAAAGTCGATGTTGGTTGCATGGGCAGTCACGTAACTTTGTGTAAACAACATGGGCAACGGATCGAATGATATATCGGCGCGTGCTCGACTCTTATATACTCTTTATCCTGTTCAGTTCAGAACCCTGAACTACTGCACTTTAAGTTTTATTGGGTTTCTCTTTTTTGATTGTAGGATTTTGCTGAAGGTGAATATTTCTAAGCCCGTTTATTGAACAGCTGGTTTAGTCATCTTGGCCCTTTACAAGTATAACTCACTTTATTCATTAAAGATAAGTCCGAACTGATCCTTATGCAACTAAACTGCTGTTCTATATTCCCTATTCTTAAATACTTATCATAGGTTTGATGTCCACTCTCTTTTGCTCTCCGTCAATTTTAGGAGAACTTCAACCTTCACTATGCATCGTACTCTACCAGGCTTCCCTGGATTTGCAACTTACTTAGTTTTTCGGTTTCATGTTCAGGTTATATAAAGGGTAAACAACAAAAGGTGAGCAACCCAACGTCATCATGATCGCCCAGCTCCCATATGCAATTATTTTTTTTACGCTTGTGGCTAACAAAAAGGGCAGCGAAAATAATTGTCGTAAGTATGTATGTATGTATGTATGTATTTCTACATTGTTGTTGTTCGCGTTGTTGTACAAATTTATGAGGTGATTTTTCATAAACGTTGTGGGACCATTTTCATATACATACAAGTACATGTATATTGTATGTGAAACATGTTCAAATTAATTCAAGAATTATTTTCTTCATAATACCAAGAATAAACAACACGACAGGGTACTTATAATTATTAATTTTGAAATAAAAAGTGCTGTACAAAAGTGTATAAAATAAATCACAGCTGTAGTTCACCGACATTTTATCATGAGAGAATATAATTTTACCAGATCGCTGTTTCACTCACCAAAGAGATCGATGATTTATATGCAATAAAATGAAATACAAGTACATTGAACCAGTTGGTTATTTAATGTCCTTGGGCTTGATTTTATAAAAAACCTTCTCAGCAATTGTTGCAGTTTAGATTGTTTAAAAAAATGTTTATAACTCCATTCTGAAACAGAAAAGTCGTAAAAGTTAAAAAGTAAACTTACGAATAGTATCCCTTATTTTTATTTGGTTATTAAGCTTGCAATTACTGGTTTGCATTTCAAAA